TGCAAATCAAGTCTGTTCTGGGTCCAACTAAGTAAAAGGGAAGGTCTCAAGGTGGACTTACAAGTATAGAGTCATAGAATGGCCTGGGTTGAAAAGGATCACAATGATTGTCTAGTTTCAACCCCCTGCTATGGGCAGGGTCACCAACCACCAGACCAGGCTGCCCAGAGCCACATCCAGCCTGGCCTTGAATGCCTCCAGGGATGGGGCATCCACAGCCTCCTTGGGCAACCTGTTCCAGTGCGTCACCACCCTCTAAGTAAAAAACTTGCTCCTAATATCTAACCTCAATCTCCCCTGTCTCAGTTTAAAACCATTCCCCCTTGTCCTGTTACTATCCACCCCCATGAACAAGGAAAGTAAAGTTGCTCAGAAACAATTTTTTATTTTTAATTTTTTTAATCTGCTATTGTTCAAAGCACCAGTTTGGTATATGTTGCTGACCACACAAAAAGAAGCAGGACTGCTTGAACTCTAACTATCTAGACCTTCAGTTAAGAACATGCAGAAACAAGAAATTCTGAAGTCGCTTCAAGGTCTGCTCACATAAAATTTGTAAATTAAGTTCCATTTAGTCAGAACCCATCTGTGCATGCATAACAGAGATAAAACTGTTCAGTACAGCTAGCAAACGTACAAAGAATTAAAAAAAAAGTGCTTTTTAAAAAAACATATTAAAAAGTCTCCAACAAAGCAACAAGATCATGCTAAGAAGATTGTGCAGCCTTCTCAAAACTCATGCTTAACTTCAGTGATGAAAAAAGACACTGAAGTCGATACAGCTGTTCACACAAGTGTTACCTTCAGTTTCAGATAGGAATATACTACACAGTATAGGATTCATTTTAAGGAAAAGTTCTCGTATTAAAAATGCTAAGGGCAAAAAAACATCCAGAAGGTTATCAAGTTTATGAGGACTGCACCAAAAGTAATGCCTCCTGTATTATGGTGTAGGCCCACAACGTCAGAGGCAGATGTTGGTGGTGCAGCAGTAGAGGTTGAACCTTCCCGCCGACATCCCATTCCGTGTCGTTGCCGTGGGACAGATGGCAGCAGAGGGGCAGTCTGGCAAAGTGGTGTCTGACATGGAAGTGCATACAGAGCAAAGGTGTATCACTGAAGTCCTCCATGTGGAAAAAATGGCACCCACTGACATTCACTGATGCTTGCTGAACATTTGTGGACACCAAACGGTGGATGTGAGTACAGGGAGGCAGTTCAGCAGTGGCAACAGTGACGTGAAAGACAATTCTGACTGGCCATGCAGATTTTTACGAGCATGGCATGCGGGCCTCTGCTCACCACAGTCAAAAACGCATAGCTGACGGAGGTGGCTGTGTAGAAAAACAGTGTTTTGTAGCTGAGAATTGAGCTCTCTGAAGTAGTGTTATTGTGCTCTTCTTTTCTGTTATGAGCAACTTACACATCTTACAAACTCTCAGGGCAAGATAAAAACTTTCCCCCACCTCCGTTCACACCGATTCAAATTGCTACATCATCCTCTAAAGCAGCTCTTAAAGGCTCATCACAGATCAGGCTGATACATGCAATTGTTTAGTGTAAGATCATTATCTAATGCAGAGGATGCCACTAAAGAACTGTATTGTGAAAGTCTGCTCATCAGCTTAAGATCTGCACTACCCATGAAAACTGAAGCACTATTTCCCCATAGGTTCTCTAAGCAAACACAGCAAGCGTGGTTACAAGCCATACTTTTCACAAGATGCATCATGACATAATGTCATAAATTAAGCATAGTCTACAGAACATAGGCCAGCCAACACAAGACTGTGTATGCACTGTAATTCTTCCGGACACAGAGCAGTAAGAATGAAGTAGAAGATGGTTGCAGACACACTACAGGATTACATAGTCACAAAACCATAGCTGCTGTATACTGATGCAGCTGCATTCACATAGGATGTTTTAAAGGAGTTCACCTTTAAATGAGCGAAGCTGGTTTTTCTTCTGAAAGCTGAACTTGGCTCATCTATGCCTATTAAAATAAGAACACAAAAAATACCACTCCTAACACTGTGATTAGATCGATAAAAAAAAAATAAAACGAGCACTTCTATCAGCTACTATAGACTGCTCCATTACAACGCAAAGCCAAACCAGGCACAGAAGATGCTCACCTAATACCAGTACTCTACCCATCCAGTGCTTCTTGGAAGCAGTTCCTTAAAGAACAAATCCTCCACTAGAGCGGCCTCATCCTGAGACACCAGGAGCATCCTACATTAGTAAGGGAAGTGACAGCTGTGGGCAAACTCCAGGCTGAGAGGGCGCAACCCCAAAGCCCATGCTGCAGCAACTCTGACCTCAGCTGTCCCAGCCTTCTGCTGAGCTCCCTGTCTGGCCAACCAAACTGTCTTCCTGCACATACAAAGAGCAGCTCTCTGCTCTGCTGGGTGCTCCTCAGCATAAGCAGAGAGAGCCTCTAAGGCTTCAACATGTTGGTTCTTCCCATTGCATGCACAAGAGACGTTCTGTACAGCAGCTGAAGCCTACACAGGTCAAAGACACCAACATGAATGCCTAAAGCTCGATAACTCAAAACTGTAACACACTTTTACTTTCATGAAAGTAACCAGGATATGTAGGTTCCACACCTAAAGGTTAATGTCCTTGCTGCAACTGCAGGTCTTGCATGAAAAGTGGGCCCATCAGAGCAACAGGTATTCTGTAGGAGCCCTATGGTCCCCCAGGGTTGCAAAGAACTGTGTTCCCCACTCACTCCACCAAATCCTTCTGCCAGAGCAGAATCTCCTAAGTGCCCGCACCTTCTGCATAGCACAAACTTTCCATTTACTACCATTAACAGAGAAAGGAAGGAGGACTAATCTCCTACAGTTGGTGAAGATGAGAACTGGAAAGAAAAGACCTCTGCACAACTGCATGAAAAAATACTGCTAAATAGGTTGTTTTCTTTCCAATTAGTACACATCACAAGAATTAAAGCCTTCCAGATTTCTTTTCTGTTCTGATTTACAACTGTGTGGATGGCAGTTGCAGCAAGCATGCCAAAGATCTAAGGGAGTCCTCCTGCTCCAGAAGAAGTGATGTTAACCCCGGCCACAGTTGGTGGCCTGCTAGCAGCCCGCTTGAGCTTTCATTACCAATGTCTCACTTCTTTTTGTAAAAAAAAAGCTGATTTGTAGCAACTCCTACAGCAAAGCCCCTACATCTCACACGGCACTACAAGATATACCAGGCCTGGGGTAAGTCTTACCCCACAGACATTCCCTAATACAACAGAAGCATGAAACAAGGACTGCACGAAGGCTCAGGCCACAGTTATGCTGCATTTTCTTATTTACTTATTTAACTAAGAGGTAGCACTAAAGAAGCCCACAAAACAGCAAGGAAAAGAAAATGGAAGAGGTCAAACAGGGTAAAAAGAGTAAGGGAAAAAATGTAGAGATACTCAGAACCTGCCTCCCTCCAGTGAACAGAATGCACTCCCCATGACTAAGTCTTATTAAAGATAAGGTTTTGAGGTAGCTGGGCATCCACTCAGCAGGTGGCAGCCACAAAGATTAACATAAGCGCTGCAAACAGTACACTACAGCCAGTTCCATCTGGACCTAAGTTATAAAGGAAAAATCCAAGGAACAGGACCAAGCCCAAAAGGAGCTGCAAGGCTGCCCTTGGAGCACAGCAGTTTATTATCAGTGTTTCATTAACCAGGTTCTTAAAGAGCAGCCTGCCTGCCAGGCAGAGCTCACCTTCAGCTCTGCTACACACGCTCAGGAAGGAAAGCACAGAGAAGCTGTCGGCGCAACAGAACATCCCTGAGCAATTCTAAGCTACAACGGCTCATCATCAAGGAAGGGAAAACACATGGCCCTGCCAGCGCGGGGCAGCCCTGGGCGCGCACCTCACCCGCCGCTCCCCGCACCCGGCGAGGGGCCATCCCGGCGCGCGGCGCCCCGCTGTCCGCAGGTGCAGCGCTGGCGGGAGGCCGCCGCCCCTCGCTGCGACCCCGCCGGCGGCGCGCCCGATAGGATCTCGGCGGCCGGTAAGGCCAATCTTCATTAAGGAGCCATAAACGCCGCTGTGCCCGCGGTGACAATTTAGCCCATTCAAGCGTGCCCCGCGCCCGTGCATTTAGTAGCGCAGCCGCGGCCCGGGTCACGGCGTTAGCGATGTAATAGCGGCCAAATGAGCGGGCGGCTGCACGCCCCGGCGGACGCGCCCACCCCGCGGGCAGGCCGCACTCCGCGGGCGGGGGGACCTACCAGGTAATCCATGTACCGCCGAGGAGCTCCGCGGGGCAGCCCGCCCGCCCGCTGACAGCGCGCCCCGGTGCCAGGGAACGGCGCTTCCTGCCCGCCGGGAAGGAAGGGCGCGAGGGGGTTCGGCTAAAGCCGCCAGGTACGGAGCCGGGGGGGCTCTGCTGCCGGCGCCCCGAGAGCTGGTGGAGGCTGTGGGGGCGCCGGCGCTGCACGGCGGCGCTGTCACAGCCGCTGCTCCTGCGCGCGCGGAGGGCTCGGTAGAAGGGAAGGAAACGAGAGGGAGGGAGGGCGCACAGCGGCGGCGCAACCAACCCCAGCCCCGCGCCCGCAGCGCCCCGCCGCTCGGCAGCAGCGGCCGGAGCCCCCGCCCCGCGCGACGTCGCGATCAGCTGATCGCACACGTGGGGGCGCCGCATGAAGCTCTTAAAGGCGTAGGCGCGGGGCGGAGGCTTGGCGCTGCCGGGAGGGCGGAGTGGGGTGTGCCGTGCCGTGCCGTGCCAGGACAGGACCGTGCCAGGACCGTGCCTTGCTGTTGCCGCCGTTAGGGGTGCGGGAGGCTTTTGCGGGACGGCCTGATTGCCGCAGGCGCAGGTGGCACCTCTTAGCGTTCTCTGTCATCTTGCTCCCCGGCTGAGTGTTGTCTGCTCGAGACTCCTGCGGCGCAGGAAGGCGTGCGGGCCCGGACGCCTCGTGTCGCTCTGACTTTACTTTCTCTTCAAAGGCGTAGGCGCGGAGCCAAACGCAGCAGAGGCGGCAGAGAAGGCAGCGCTCTGCGGGCTCGGCATGGCGCGACAGCCTCGTTCCTCGGCTCAGCGCAGGAGCAGTTTTAATCGCTTCGAAATGGCAAACCCACGCGTCCATACCTCTTGTAGGTAAACACCCGAGCCCCGGATGTCAAACACAACCGCGCTCCAGAGAGCGCAAGGCCACGTGGGGAAGGAGCGCCTGCTGTACTCGCAGCCTTCGGCTGATGCTTGGAAGTGAGCTCTGAGTTCACTGAACGGCCGCCGTGTCCTGCTTGTTCCACAGAGAATGGCGGGGCAGATGTCGGCCTCCAGCCGATGTCAGGGCAGCAGGCAGCGCGCTGCCTCACACTGCAGAGCTCCGCTGCACGTGCAGCACAGTGAGGTGCCAGCTCCTGGCTGCCCGCTGGAGTTGGGTACGGCTGCATCTTGTGGTCAGCTGAGACTTTGGAGCATACGACTGTAGTGATGTTAACAGCACAGCCAAGACCACCGGTCTCGATAAGGCACAGAGCTGTTAGCGATCTTTGAAAAGAACTGTGTGTAAGGCTGAAGGCTCAGTACTTCGTAGCACTAGTGAAAGCAAGATACCTCATCTTAGGGCCACCTGGAAACAGGACTACAGGCCCCTGCAAACTTTAGCATTGAAGACTTGTACCCTTGTTTTCTTTGTGCTTCTAGTGTCAGGCAGCAGTGGAGCAGGCGCCACGCGAATCAGGTGTCTTTCTTTGGCACTGCCACTCCTGATGCTGTAGTCTGCTCCCACCGGGAGGGGGGTGGTGCAGCGTGAAGGACCTTTCAACCTCTCTGAGCTAATGTGGTACTGAGTAAAGAGTAATCAAGCTTGCAAATAATTACTTATTCCCATTGAGAACAAACAGGAGTTTTGTTATTAACTTCCAGAAACAAGCTTTTCTAGCGGGGCCAAAACAGCTCAACTGCATTCAACAGAATCTGCCAGTATACCTGCTTTTGATAAAAATTGATGTATGCAGGTAAGAAATTGACCATAAAGCATTATTTTCCCTACCACTTGCAGCAACTTTAATATCCTATAATGGAATCTGAACATTGGACCTGTAGGCTTTTCCACAACTCTTTAGCACCAGCAAGTAACATTTGTTTCCGCAGAGAAGCAGACAGTGACTTCTAAAATGACTGCAGAATGGGAAATTGAAAGACTATTGGATAAAATGATTTAGAAAATAAAAAGTGTAATAAAATGCACTGCAGAAGCAGATAGCAAGGAAAGGGGAATGAATGAATAAATGAGGATTCAAGAGCAATCAGGAATGCATGTTTATAAGGATATTAGTGAGTAGATAGCCTAGATTTAGTAAAGGGTGGGGGAGGAGGTCAGCAATTTCTGCTCTGATTTCTTGTGATGTTGTAACATCACAAGAAAGGTTCAGTCACAACATCCAGTTAGCATCAATGTATTGATAAGGTGTTTCACCCTGTCCTGCTCAAAAGGCAGGGAGGCCTTGTTAATAAGCAATTCACTTTCTAATAGTGTTTGATGTGGAAAAAAAAAAATAAAATTCTTTGCATTTCATTAAGCTATCTGCTCATTTTAGCATTTTAATACCTGGAGAGTGGAAGAAGGGATACAGGTCTGGCCCTTACTGCTATTCACTGCTCTGACTGTTTTCCTTATAGTCATGGCCACTGCTGGGAACTTTCTGCTGATCACAAGATGCCCTTTTGACAGTGGGAACTACAGGCTGAACAGAGGTAGCTGGAGGAGGCCCCTCAATAGCATTACAAAATCAAACTGTATCTATCCTTTGTCACTGCATTTTTTTTTGTTTGTTTTGTTTTGTTTTGTGTCAAATAAATTTTTTGTGTGTTTTCCCTTTAAAACCCTTTCTTCCTCAGTAATATCTCACTTCTGAGAACTGTCACTTTTGGACCCAACTATATATGACTAGAGGAGAACCTAAAGGAGAACACAAGGAACAAGTAGAGACTTTCTGAAGTGCTGCTTATGCAAGTAGAGGAATGTGCAATGACTGGGAGTTCTTTCTTCTAGAGCTGTTTGAGAGGAAAATAGAATCTGTATTAAGGCAGTTGCCACAAAGAATGTAGTAGTGGGTAAAGAAAGTGTTTGGCTTATGTTGCAGCATGTGAAATTTAGGTCAGACACTGGAAAACACTTCAACAGTAGGGATGTTTGGGCACTGAGAGATATATCTACTAGAAATTGTAGAATTCTTGTGAGTGAGGCTTACATAAATATTTGAGTGTTTTAATAAGCACTGATTTTGATCTGGTGAGAGTGAAGTACAAGACCTTTTTGTCTTGTACAATTCTGATATCTCAAATTTGACTATGAAGATGCAATACATTTATACACAAAGAAAAATATTTACTTCCTAATGACTATTTTGTATGTGCAGTTTTCCTTCTAGCTTACAAGCAACTGTACATGAGCTGAACAGAACATCAGCTTATAAAATCAGAAGCATTATCATGTATACACTGCAAATCCTAGAGATCTGATGAAAAGAAGCCAAGCCCGAGCTTATGTTAGTCATTCTCTTTAGTGTAAACAAACAAGTGCTCTGGCCATTGTGCAGGTTTACAGCATGTTCATTTTATGACTTAAAGAGAAGAATAATATTAAACAATAGAACATAAGTGAAATTCTTTTTTTTTGCCGATGCAGAAATCGTTGTTGCTGAGGTATTTCTAGTGAGTCCTGTAGGACATATTTCATCTAGGAAGATGTTGAGTTTTGTAACAGAGTCATAGAATGGTTTGGGTTGGAAAGAACCTTTAAGATCACCTAGTTCTAACCCCCTGCTATAGGCAGGGACCTCCCACTGGACCAGGCTGCTCAAAACCCCATCCAGCCTGGCACTGAACAACTCCAGGGAGGGGGTGTTATATAATAAACTCAGTGTTAGCTATCTTCATGATGAGGCTTGTCAGAAAGAAATAACATGGCAGGGTAGAAGTTACCTTGATTTACCATGATTTATGTTTTTTTGTTGTTGTTGTTTTGGGTTTTTGTTGTTTTTTTTTTTTGTTTGTTTTCATGGTGCAAAAGATCATAGGGCAGATTGTAAGAACTAGTTTCCCCCTCCCCCCCC